AATAAAAATTTGCAAAATCATGATCAATTATTCAAAAAGTATCAGACTACGTCAACGGTTAAAATAAAATTTAAAAACTCACTAGTCAGAGTAAATTCGAAACTATCCGATGCGCGTTTCGACCCATTGGATCATCATCAGGCGTCGCGCCCCTGATGATGATCCAACGGGTTGCAAAGTCATGCCACAGAGGAAAGATTCGATTTATGAAAACCTAAAAAATACGTTGTTACGAGTTCGTAACGCTATGCCATAGGGTTAAAGGTAATTGTGTCGAGGTTGAGACAATTTGTTAAAATTTATCAAGAATAATTTCAGAGTGACAGCTAAAAATTTCCGTGTTTATGGTTACAGTGTGTTGCTTATAACGCCGTTAGATTAACCGAAATGAGTCGGTCGAAAAAATTATATTTTTTTTATCGAATCAACCGAAACTTCCAGGTTGCTCCAAGACGTTTCAGTCCGTGGCGTGGCGTGCTTTGCGATACATCGATATATCTGCCATGTAAACCCATAGAGAATAATCAATAAACAGGTTGTTCGCAAGGAAACCCTTAAATATCGACCTTATACCACAGCTTTGAAAGAGAAAATGTCAATAATAATCGATTATTCACGCTTGGCCACTGATTGTAGTATGGAGCAGTGTCAGTTCTGCCGTGCTAAAGAAGAACGCCGTATGAACATTTGAGAGTTGCCAAATTTCCTTCAATGAAATGTTTATTCTGGAGGAAAGTTATAAAAATTTTGCTTTGAAAGTTTCAGGAGCTCTAGGTGGCATCGCGAACAAAATTATCTGAAAAATTGGAGGAAAAATATTCTTAAGTTTACCAGGAAATTCGTATTTTATCATAGGAAATTTGGCAACGTCTGAAGGTTTATATGGCGTTCTTCCTTAGTACGGAAGAGTTCAGCATGACACTTTCTCCAGTCCAGACAACCTACAGTCTCGATTAATGTGACCAAAAATTTGGTCCATCGACCAAGCACTCAAGAAGTAACTCAAAGTAATCCGAAATGGACGTATTTCTACCAAAGAGACCTATGTGGAGGTGAGAAATTTGGGGTGTGCTCGTTAGTTCTCTTTGCGTAAGAGTGAATGAGAATAATTGTGCGCCAGTGACGTCAGCGGAAATGATCAACGAGGAGCGCGACGGGGAGATGGTCGTCGGGGCGCTTTAACTCATGAGCCCTGTCCACAACGCTCTCTTGCCATGCCCGCGGCTCATGAGTTCCGCATTCAGTTGCCACATAGGTCTCTTTGATAGAATGCAATATCCCGCTTTTCCAATTCTTCAAAAGGAATCGCGCCCACTTTTACATTGCTTCTTATGCAGCTTCCACGAGCACACCCCATATTTCTCACCTGCACGTAGGTCTGTTTGGTAGAAATACGTCCAAATATCCCTAAGTAACCAGATACACGGACATTTTCAACTGTGTACCCTCCTGTGTCGAATGTTGACTTTCACGAGCAACTTTTCCATTCAATAAACATCATCGACGCACGATATAAGTTTGTGAGGAGCCAGCGATCTGGCAAATCGTCAATGCCCGCGGCCCGCTAACCGCTCAAGCGATCGCACAAAGTTGCGAAAGTCGAAAGTTCAAGCGCTTCACGTGAGCAGCTCTTTCACACATCTCTTGGCACGATGGAGCCGTCAACTTCTTGTCCCTACCCCTTCCACCTCTCGCCCTTATCCTCTTTCGAAATTATGAACTCATCAAACGCGAGAGGGAACCGGCAAAAAGGCTCACGGTAGTTAACTCACTATCCTGCGCAACTACTTTTAAGAACTGGAATAACCTTAAGGCAAACCTTAAGACAACTGATGGATCCTCTCGGCGAAGATGAGCCCTTAAAATGAGAACTTGAGATTCGGCCTGACGATGGAACACCGTGTGAGAATGAGATGATTTATTTTTCATTCCACCGCCTACGAGAAGTTCAAAAAATAATTGCACTTTTGACGGGTTTGAGAAAAATTAATCCTCATCCCTGTTTAAATTGATGTTGATTCACTTTGCCCAATTTCCTCTCATGGTTTATTTTCTTTAACAGAGAACTAAAAAACATGCCTCTTTGAATCCTTCCGTGAACTTTTCCTGTATTATAAAGAATACGCTGCAAAAATGTTAAATTAAAATGTCCCGCGGAAAGTTCTGGTAGAAAAATAAAACGTAGGAAGAAATGAGGCAACGTCTGGTGCGGTTAAGATTCCTGTAGTAACATCTATCAAATTACAGCTTTATCAGCTGAGAAGTCATTTTTTATGCAAATCGTTCATCCTAATAACACATCGGAAAAAGGGTTTTTTTTGAGACATTTTATTTTAATCTTTGAAAAACAAATTTTTGAGAAATAATTATCAACTAGTATTGAGCAATTTAAGCAAACAACCTGGGTATCCGTAGTTTTAAAGAACCTCTTTAAAATATTAATAACATATTTATTTATTTTTATTTTTGGGTTTAAATGTAAAAATACAGGTACTTAACAAATGTTTTGAAGACTTCATCTTTAAAAGTAATTGTTAAAATTAAAAAGAGGATATTTTTTCATTCATATTGCAAACATGATTTTATAAAAGTACTGAAACATATTTTCAAAATAAATATAAGATGTTTTTAACACTTTAAATGCGTTTAAATTTTTATCCGGACGTTTCAATAATGTTTTGAAATGATTGAAAAATACTTTAAGCTCTAAGTGTTTTAAGCTCCTCAAACGTGCATAGGCGTACCTGACATGTTTTAGTTTTTTCCACAATTAAAGAAACGTCTCTGAAACATTTCATCGTTTTAAAAATATTACAAAACATCTTTTCAGGTTCATTCCGTGAGAAATGTGTGTGGACTACTCTGCTAAAAAATCGTAGCAATTTTATGTTAAACTTGTGTTTTTACCGTGACACCAAACGCTTAGAGGCAAATGGACCACTAGAAAATAAGATGTCTTTTCAGCTTGAGATGGAAGGCGTGGGCTAGGGTGTGCCTTATTTTTGAGTTTTGCGAAAATCAAGTTGGTCAACCCCTAAAAAGTTTCTATGTAGTCTCTAAATGAACCCCCTAAAAGGAAAAAATTTTAAAAAAATTTTAACCCGTGCCTCAAAGGGCCTAAAGGGCCTAAACCCAAAATTCAAAAATTTTGGCAAGCGACACATCAATTCTGAAGGAAAATGGCAAGTTACGG